GGATGTTTCCACTGGCAGGTGAAGCTAGGACAAGAGGGCATAGCCTCCAGATTAGAGGGAGCAGATTTAGGACTGAACTGAGGGAATTTCTTCACCCAGAGGGTTGTTAATCTATGGAATTCCTTGCCCAGTGAAGTAGTTGATGCTACTTCAGTAAATGCTTTTTTTAAATTAAAAAAATAGATTTTTTTTGAACAATAAAGGAATTAAGGGATACAGTGAGCACGCAGGTAAGTGGATCTGAGTCCATGAAAAGATCAGCCATGATCTTATTGAATGGCGGAGCAGGCTTGAAGGGCCAGACGGCCTACTCCTGCTCCTACTTCTTACGTTCTTATGAGGAAGTGGAAGAGTGGGTTAGTAAGTTTGCCAATGACACTAGGGTTAGTGGAGTTGTGGACAGTGTGGAGGGCTGTTGTAGGTTGCAGTGGGACATTGACAGGATGCAGAGCTGGGCGAAGAAGTGGCAGATGGAATTCATCCCAGAAAAGTGCAGTTTTTGGAAGGTCAAATTTTGAATGCAGAATATTGGGTTAATGGCAGGATCTTGGGGTCCTCGTCCATAGATCCCTCAAAGTTGCTACCCAAGATGGTAGATTTGTAAAGAAGGCATATGGTGTGTTGGCTTTCATTGGCAGGGGAATTGAGTTTAACAGTCGTGAGGTTATGCTGCAGCTCAAACTCTGGTTAGACCACACCTTGGAATATTGTGTTCAGTTCTAGTCACCTTTTTTATAGGAAAGATGTGGAAGCTTTAGAGAGGGTGCAGAAGAGATTTACCAGGATGCTGCATGGATTGGAGGGCAGGTCTTGTGAGGAAAGGTTGAGGAAACTAGAGCTTTTTTCATTGGAGCAAAGAAGGATGAGGTGTGACTTGATAGAAGTTTACAAGATGATGAGAAACATATTTGGATAGTCAGACTTTTTCCCAGGGTGGAACTGACTGTTATGAGGGGGCATAATTTATAGGTGATTGGAGGAAGGTATAGGGAAGAGGTCAGAGGTAGGTTCTTCAGAGTGGTGGGCGTGTGGAATGCGCTGCCGGCAGTGGTAGTGGAGTCATACTTCAGAGACTTCCAAGTGACTCTTGGATAGGCACATGGAGGATAGTAAAATGTATGGAATGCAGGGTAGATTGATCTTGGGATAATAGGTCAGCACAACATCATGGGCCAAAGGGCCTGTACTGTGCTGTTCTATGTTCTATTATGTACTAATCTGCTTATCTAAAACTCTGCCTACCATATGGATACAAATTGGAGGTAGAAGTAAGCCATTCAGTCCCATGAGTCTCCTTCAACACAACTTTTTTAAAAAAAAAGGCTGATCTGTTTGCTTCAAATTTCACATTTTCCATCTATGCCCAATAACCTTAAGACTCTTTTCTAGGCAATTAAACCAACTACATCATTGCTTTTAGAGGCACTGTTTTCCAAAGTGTTATTGCTCCCAAGAGAAGAAAAATGACCTTTTGTGTCCTAAAAGGGCATCCTCTTGTTAACAAGCCATATCCTATCCATAGTCACGATTTAGGCCAGCTTTTCATTGGATGAAATTGAAATTTCCCCATCTGTCATGGTGAAATTTGAACTTGGACCCCAGCCTGAGGTTCTGGATTACTAGTTCAATGATGTTACACTCATCTGTATTATTAATTTTGATCATGTTTTTGCTTCAACATTAGTTTATTTTAATTTGTGGTATAAAGGTGAAAGGGTAAACTTTCTTTATGGAAGCTTATGTTAGTCTAACTGGGAATACTGCAGCAAGTAACTCGCCTCCAGTCTTCTCAAAGCCTGTCCACTATCTAAAAGACATAAATCCAAGAGTGCGATGGAATACTCTCCACTTGCCTGGATGAGTACAGCTCCAATAACACTCAAGAAGCTTGACATAGTCCAGGACACAGCAGCTCACTTGGTTGGCACCACATCCATTTCCTTGCTGATGCTTAGTTGCAGAAATGTGTACCATCTACAAGATGCACTGCAGACATTCATCAATGCTTCTTAGCAACTTTGAATCCCATGACCACTACCATCTAGAAGGACAAAGGCAGCAGATCATTGGAACACCAGCTCCTGCAAGTTCCTCTCCAAGCTGCTCGATATCCTGACAGAAACTTAGAAAATAGGTGCAGGAGTAGGCCATTTGGCCCTTTGAGCCTGCACCATCATTCAGTATGATCATGGCTGATCATGCAATTTGAGTATCCCATTCCTGCTTTCTCTCCAAACCCCTTGATCCTTTTTAGCTGCAAGGGCCATGTCTGACTCTCTCCTCATATCTAACGAACTGGGCCAACAGCTGCTTGTGGGAGAGCATTCCACAGGTTCACAACTCTGGAAAAAATTCTTCCTCATCTTTGGTCCCTGAAACTGATTTTCTTTTTGTTTTTCCTTCAGATGTTGCCAGACCTGTTGAGCTTTTCCAGCAACTTTGGTTTTGTTCCTGATTACAGCATCTGCAGCCCGTTGTTTTTATTTAGGACATTGGTTAGACCGCTTTCAGAATACTGCGTGCAATTCTGGTCTCCTGGCCACAGGAAGGATGTTGTGAAACTTGAAAGGATTCAGAAAAGATTTTAAAAGGATGTTGCTAGGGTTTGGTGGTGGGTGGGGAGGGAGGTTTGAGCTGTAAGCAGAGGCTGAGTAGACTAGGGCTATTTTCCCTAGAGTGTTGGAGGCTGAGGGGTGACCTTTTATTGAGGTTTAGAAAATCATGAGGCATGGATAGGATAAATCGACAAGGTCTCTTTGCCAGGCTGGGGGAGTCAAAAACTAGAGGGCATAGGTTAAGGTGAGAGGGGAAAGATTTAAACGGGATCTAAAGGGTGAGTTTTTCAGAGGGTGGTGCATGTATGGAATGAGTTGCCAGAGGAAGTGGTGGAGACTGGTACAACTACAACATTTTAAAAGGCATCTGGATGGAAATATCCTTAGGACGGGTTTAGAGTGATATGGGCCAAATGCTGGCAAATGGGACTAGATTTATTTAGGATATCTGGTCGGTATGAATGAGTTGGACTGAAGGGCCTGTTCCTGTGCTGTATATCTGACTGACTTTCTTTATCTGAATGGTGACAGCTTATAATCTGTCTTCCTGTTTGTGACCAAAGTGGATAACCTCGCATTTAAATGCAAATATATCTCTATTCCAGTGTTGCTGAGTCAAAGTCCTGGAATTCCCTCCCTAAAGCCATAGTCGGTTCACCTACAGTGCCTGGACTGCAGAGGTTCCAGAAGGCAGCTCACCAACACCTTGTCAAGGGTCACCTAAGGATGTGCACTAAATGCTCATCCAGATAGCAATGCCCACATTCTTGAGTGAATTTTTAAAAAAAATTGCTCCAACAGGAATGTGGCAGGATTAATGGATTTACTGACATGAATAGAATTTCATGCAGCTGATTTTTTTTTCAATAGCTTCCAGCTTTGATTTTTGTTTCCAACCACTGGATTTTTGGTGACAAATAACTTAACTTGAATTAGCCCTAATGACTGAATGCTGGTCAACTTGTTTTGATGCTAATATTTTTCCCCCTCTTCCACAGACCAAGTATGACTTTACTTCCTGTATGGGTGTGATGTTGGTGTCTGTGGTTGTGCTGTTTTTCTTCGGAATTCTGTGCATCTTTATCCAAAACAAGATTCTCCAGATTGTGTATGCTTCTGTTGGTGCACTGATCTTCACAGTGGTAAGTGTGAATGCTTTTTTAAAATGTTTCATTTTCATTTAAATGAGCAGATCATTCCAAAGTGCTTTTTTTAAGGAAACACCATTGTAAAGTTATTTGCACCTTCTGCAGTACAGTCATGGGTTTTATGGATTTGCCTTTCCAAGGATTAAAATTTCCCTATTGATGCCTCTGTCACTATGCTGGAATATAGTCAGTAAAAGCTACCCTTTTGGTTTTATCTTGTGACTTAAAGTAGAATGACACTTTCACACCCCAGTTTACCATAGTAAGTACTTGCTGGATAAAAGGAAAGAAATGAGTTTTTTGTTTTTTTTTGGAAGCCTTTTACTACATCTGGATGTTTCATAATGCTTTACAGCAAACTAACTCATTTTGAATGTAGTCACTGTTTATATGGGGTAATGAAGGCAGTGTAGTAGCCAATTAATGCATTGTCAACCTCCACAAAAAGTAGTGACCCAGATAATCTGGATTGTTGTATTGGATTGTGATGGATATTAGCCAGAAAGATGTCCCCTGCTCTCCCAAAAGAAAATAGTGTGGTTGAGTCGTCTTAATATTCTGGGGACCCAGGGTTCAAATCTGCCTTGGCAGATGGTGGAATCTGAATTCAGTATAACAAAAATCTGGAATTAAGAATCTAATGATGACCATAAACATTCCTGATTGTAGGGGAAAAAACCCATCTGGTTCACTAATGCCCTTTTTTAGGGAAGGAAACTGCCATCCTTACCTGGTCTGGCCTACATGTGACTCCCAGACCCACAGCAATGTGTGGTTTAACTTTTAACTGCCTCTGGGCAATTAGGGATGGGCAACAATGCCACTCCAGCCAGCGATGCCCTCGTTCCATGAATGAATAATTAAAAAAAAACAAAAGGCAGGGCCCTCCTCTGAAAGACTGTGCGACCAAGGCCTATAATAGAATTGGAGATAGTAGGAACTGCAGATGCTGGAGAATCTGAGATAACAAGGTGTAGAGCTGGATGAACACAGCAGGCTGAGGAGCAGGAAGGCTGATGTTTTGGGCCTAGACCCTTCAGAAATGGGGGAGGGGGAAGGGAAGGGGGTTCTGAAATAAATAGGAAGAGGGGGAGGCGGATAGAACCTGACTGCTGTGGTCAACCCATTGTCTCTGCCTGCTCCTGCTCCACCTATCTTGACTCCATTTTCTCCCCCTTGGTCCAGGAACTCCCTACCTATGTCCGTGACACCACCCATGCCCTCCACCTCCTCCAGAACCTCCAATTCCCTGGTCCCCAACACCTCATCTTTACCATGGACATCAAGTCCCTATACACCTGCATTCCCCATGCAGATGGCCTAAGGCCCTCTGCTTCTTCCTGTCCCGCAGGCCTGACCAGTCCCCCTCCACTGACAACTTCATCTGCTTAGCCGAACTTGTCCTCCCCCCTGAACAACAACTCTTTCAATTCCTCCCACCTCCTACAGACAAAGGGGGTGGCCGTGGGTACCCGCATGGGCCCAAGCTATGCCTGCCTCTTTGTAGGTTATGTGGAACAATCCCTCTTGTAGCTACACTGGCCCTAAACCCCACCTCCTTCCTCCGTTACACTGACCTGTAT